CCTCCTATATATATTGCTGACCAGTATTCCATGGTATTGCATGTACCACATTTTATTTAACCGTTAACTTATTTACCACATTTTATTTAACTGTTAACTTATTTAAGAAGATTTGGGTTTTAAGTTTTAGTTTTTTATGAAGAACACTGAATTAAGACATTTGCGTGCACATTTTTCTGTGAACCTAAGCTTATTCTCTGGGTTGCCCCGGAGTGAGATTACTCATTCGTACGATAAATATTATATTTAGTTTTTTATAAGAAACTGCCAATCTATTTTCTAGAGTGGCTCTACCATTTTACATTTCCACTGGGAATGTATAAGAGAGCCAGTTTCTCCACATTTTCGCCAGCATTTGGTATTGTCACTATTTTTTTGTTTTAGCTCTTTTAATAGCAATGTACTGGTATCTCATCATGATCTTAATTTGCATTTACTTGATGGCTAATGATATGGAACATCTTATGTGCTTATTTGCCATGAATATATCATCAGTGAAATGGCTTTTCATGTCTTTTGCCCATTTTCTGATTGGGTTTTTGTTTTTTATTGTTGAGTTTTGAGAGTTCTTTATATATTGTGGATATGAATCCTTTGTCAGATCTGTGTTTTGCAAATATTTTCTCCCAGTATGTAGCTTGTTTTACATCCTTTTCACAGGTCTTTTGCAGAGTACAGCTTTTTAATTTTAATGAAATGAAATCTATATTTTTCTAATATGGATTGTGTTTTTGATATGTCTAAGGACTCTTCAACAAGTCCTTAAGATTTTCTCTTAAAGATTTTATAATTTTGTTTTATATTTAAACCTGATCCACTTTGAGTTAATTTTTATATAAAATGTGAAGTTTAGGTTGAGGTTCAATTTTTTGCCTATGAATACCACTTGTTCCATCATAATTTGTTGAAAAGACTTTACTCCTTCCACTGAATTGTTTCCACATCTTTGTCAAAAATCAATTAGGCTGACTTGTGTGGATGTATTTCTGTATGCTCTAGTCTGTTCCTTTTATCTATGTGTCTTGTCTATCCTGCCAATACCACCCTGTCTTAATGACTAGCTCTATATAAGTCTT